CGGTGACCCCACCTCCATCCTTCTGTTGCCTTGAAAAACCTGCAGTTAGAGAGCAGAAAATAAGGTTTTCCTCTCCACCGTTTGAAAATGCAGGTTCATGGCAAGGAGTGACTCCTGGAAAAAAGAAATTAATTCTGCCGAGATATTTAGATTACGAGAGAGAGGGAGAGAGAATTCTCTCCAAGGAACCGAAGCTGCTGGTTGATGAGTGGAAGCGACCAACATGCTCAGGCCAGAAGTGCTTGTAAGCTGGTTTGTTCGGCTTAAAAAATACAGACATGCCAGTCTCCCATTGCTAGTTCAGAATTAAAATGCAACTATTTGGGTATCTTTCAAGCCAAGAGACATTTCCCCATCTTGGTTTTAAATCCAAGACGTGAACGCATTGAGATGAGAGGTTGGTTGGAGTTAAATGGGTTTGCTGGTTTTCCCCTAGGGAAAAATACCTCACATAGATTCCTATCCAGGCGCTCCTTGACTTACAGCCATTCGTTTAGTGACCATTTGAAGCCATAACCACACTGGGGAAAAATATAACTTGCAAGCATCCTCACACTTAGCATCCCTGTGTCATGTGATTAAATTCAGGCGCTTGGCAATTAGCATGTATTTACAGCCGGTGATGCAATGTCCTGGGTTCACATGACTGCCCTCTGTGACCTTCCCAGCCAGCTTCTGACATGCAAAGTCACTGCAGTAAAAGGACCCACAACTCTCATCCGATAATAAGGAGCGCACTATTTTTGAACCTCGGCAATCCTAAGATGTGCTGTCACTACAAGAGGCATAGCACTGTCCCAAAACAACACCATTCAGAGAGTCTCACAACAGGTCAATAATTTCCCATCTATATTTTGAGATTCTACCTAACTAATTAGTATCTTTCTAGTACCAATTACATAAACATCAGCATGGCAAAACCTTACTGAAGCTTAATGGGACTTTTGGCTCTTTAATTAAAAGCTTCTGTTTTGAAACACTCGTTAAGAAGCTGCCTCTTTCCAAAAGCTTAGTTTATCCCAAAATGAGGACAATGGTTTGCCCCAAACCCTGAAGACTACTTCACTTCCTTCAGCGGTCCTAGTTTCACTTGTAAATCAAGGGTTTAGGTGTGCTTAAAGAGGGTTTGGAGGGAACAAAATCGGGTTTTTTAATTCACACCTGACTTAAATAAGATCGACGGGTGAAAGCAATCAAGATAATTCCCGTGCTTTTCTCCCCTTCTCCTGCCGAGCTTACGTGAGTCTAATCAGGTTGTCATTTTGCACAGTATCCCAACCGTTCATTATGGTATCTTAGGCTCTGGAATGTGTACAGCAATAAGTGCAATAAAGGGAAAGGTGAGAACTAATGAGGTGTCTTATTTAAAGGCAGACAAGCGGGGATATTCAGACCCCATCTGCCAAACCATCGGAGAAGGTCTTAGAATCCAGAGGAAACAAAAATGTAAGTAATTCAACCATCTTTAATCTATACTCCATTCCATTCTATCCCTCCCTCGCTCCATCCTTCCGTTTCTCCATCCATCCATTGTTCCATCCATCCAATACTTTCTAACCTTATTGTAGTTTGAGAATATTTGTAGCTCAGGTTTGAAATGGGGGGTCCTTGATGCTCGCTGAGCTTGACTGTTTCCTTGCACACTTTTCCTTGCCCAAACTGTCAACTCTACGTAACGTCTAGCACTGATGATGTTATCTAGTTGGGTCATGAAATGCCTACAAGAAAACAACCAAGCTCAGAGAGCACCAAGGATTCCTTACTTTCTAACCAGAGTTCCCCCCTTTCAAACAATCACTTGAATCTTTAGTTAGCTCCTCAAAGTATTTTCTCTACTACCTTCTCTTATTGGTATCATTATTGTGGTTATTTTTACTGTGTTGTTTTGCATGTACACTGAGAGCTTCTGCACTGGAGACAAATTCTTTGTGTGTCTAATCTTACTTGGCCAAATAAAATTATTCAATCATTCAATGCAACTGAGAAGGAGAGTTTCACACCTGACCATCTGCAGATGTGCCACTTCCAAAAGCTAGCAACACTGTAAACCCACACAAAATTGCCCTTGCCTTCATGAATGAACGAACGAATTCTTTATTGACCAAGTGTGATTGGATACACAAGGAATTTGTCTTTGATGCATGTGCTCTCAGTGTATGTAAAAAGAAAACGTATATATTCGTCAAGAATCATAAGGTACAACACTTAATGTTAGTCATAGGGTACAAATAGGCAATCAAATCAAGTCAGGGATTGCTCACACCCTCACAGCTCTGCAACCTTACAAAAGCACACACGTGTAGATGGGATTGCATCCATCCCACACAGCCTATTAACTGAACAAAAGGCAAATGCCAGCAACTGGAAACCGGCTTCAAACTAGCATCATTTCCTTCCTGCAACGCTTTCAGGTAAATCAAAGCATTTCTGAACATCTCATTCTTTGCAACAACAACACCCCCCCCCCAAAAAAGATAATTTGTATAAAAATAGCACGAGGCAGCATCACAAACTGATGAAGATCATGCTGAAGGTTTGGTTCAATCAAGGAGACGCCATGTTTATCGTGTTTTGGGGAGCATTACGGCAGAACAGATTATTTATTTTACCTTGAGCGTGGGTGAGAAACAGGACAGAAAAATTCACTACATTCAAATCACGTTTTTTTGAGGCATCTCCTGGTGCCCTACATCCTTCTGAAAAGCCTTAAAGCAGTTGTCAAATCTTTTCTGGAAGACCTCCAGTGATGAAGCACCCACATCTGGAGGGAGGCACCCTAATCGTGTTCATGTGTCTGTGGCACTGATAGTAAGTGTGAAGACCCATTGTAAGTCACCTTTTTTCCCAGTGTTGTTTGAACTTCAAACAGTAGTTGAAGGTTGAGGAGTGACCACGCTATGGAAGCAGTTGTCTTGTGGTGGAATGTGTACTTTTTTTTCAACTTCCCAGTCTAGCTTGTAGCCCTGGGATCTCTTTGTGGCCTCTCATCCAATGCTAAATATGCCTTATCTTGCTAAGCTTGTTGAGATCAGCCAAGATTGGCTCGATGTACCTAAAATCTAGTGACAAGGGTTCTGTTTCCCAGGAACTATCCATGGTGCTGGAACCCAAGATCCAGCCTACAGAAACATAATCTTTGTTTTAAGAGCATCCCAAAACAACACATGCATACACAGTTTCTGTTCTGCGGTCCAGGAAATGGGAAAAGAAAAAAAGAATCTTCAAAGTCATCCAAAGTTAAATTGAAGGAGCTGTTGCTTTTATCCTTCAATAGCAAGGCTGCCGCTTTGATGATGAAGAAGAAGAAGAAGAAGAAGAAACCTCCAGGCTTCCTAAGGTTTTTCTCTTGGGATGTTAATTACATTCTCTGTTCTCGCAGCTTGACAATATTTCCCCTGCCTTCCCAGAGCCGTTGTCTAGATTGCAACCTTGATTAAAATTCTGGAGGATCCTTTTTATTAGCTCCAAACTCCAAGACGGTTTACATAGGCCTCAGTCTTGGCTCGTTCGGCTTCCGCAGAGGGTCTTGTAACCGAAAACAAACTGGCTTGAAAAAGAAAAACAACAACAACGCACATACAAACACAAAACCTCCCAAATGAATCGTCGTATTTGGACAGCTTAATTTGGACAGGCAGGAGACACAGAGAGAGAGAGAGACAGAGAGAGAGACAGAGAGAGAGAGAGAGAGAGACAGAGAGAAAGAGACAGACAGAGAGAAAGAGAGATAGAGAGATAGAGAGAAAGAGACAGAGAGAAAGAAACAGAGACAGAGAGACAAAGAGAGAGAATTCCAGTCTCCATCAGTAAGATTGCCTGTGTTTTGCTTTCACCATTTGTCACTTTTTAGCTTTCTTTCTCTTTCTTTCTTTCTTTCTTTCTTTCTTTCTTTCTTTCTTTCTTTCTTTCTTTTTCTTTCTTTCTTTTTTTTTTTTTAACCAAAGAAAGTTTCTTTCAGGAAAAAAAAAGATTTCTTCAGAAACTTTCTTCTGTTGTCTTCCCACATCTCTAGAATCTGAGTATTGGCACATATAATCCATTAAGCTCCCCTTTTCATCTGAGACTGGGGTCTCTTTTTTAAAAAAAAAAGAAAGAAAGCCAAGCTTCTGGCTCTTTCTGATTACCACAATGTGCTTCAAGAAAAGGGAAGGAGGAACAGCCGTCACTAGCAAGAAATACCTTTCAGAAATGTGGGGAGGGGAAAAGCCTGTGATGCCTTGCCTGATTTCACTAACCCAACGCAAAAAAATAGGGTATCAGTGGGACTCGGGAAAAGGGACGTTTTTCAGCCGGTGCTTTGAAACAAAAAAGGCTTCCAGAACAATGCAAGCATTGCTTAGAGGAAGCAGAATTTGGGGGAAGAGGGTCAACCCATTCACTCCACCCCAACCCCCAAGGTGGATCAAATCAGATCAGGAAATCTGATCTAGAAGGGAAGGAGGTGGAGGGGCAGGAGGAAGAGGAGGAGGAGGACTGTGGGGTCCTTGGTGCTCTCTGAGCTTTGTGGTTTTCTTAAAGACGTTTCATTACCCAACTAGGTAACATCATCAGTGCTAGGAGTGCAGTTTGCTCTCTTTTCGTATACAAGTGCCTTGCCCTGACAAGGATGGTAGAAATCTTCTCAGTGGGTCCTTGATTGGATTGTTATTTACTGTCACCTTATTTGAGGTGGCAATTCCTCCATCTGGGTATTGTTTACTTCTGGATTGTTGGGCTAATGTTTACCTCGCTGTTTAAAAAAAAAAAGCGCGAGTGAGTTCAGAGAGCACCAAGGGCCCCCCCCCCAAATCCTCCCCTCCTCCTCCTCCTCCACACACCCCTCTCTCCCTAGCCCTGATGATGTTACCTAGTTGGGTAATGAAAACGTCTTTAAGAAAACCACAAAGCTCAGAGAGCACCAAGGACCCCACAGTCCTCCTTCTCCTCCTCTTCCTCCTACCCCTCCACCTCCTTCCCTTCCACCGGCCGGGAGATCTGACAAGCATTTATTTGTCCGACAGATGAAGTTCCCCAACCACATCTCCTGCCTCCTGCTGCTGAGTGTTGGGACCTCTTTCCTTGCCCATGGCCTCCGAGCCCCGAAACACCCCGGAGAAGAAGAATTCCAAGTTATCCCAGATGAACCTGGCTTTGGGGAAGCCGGACATGCGGAGTGGCGGCGTTCGACCGTCGGCCTGAACCCCCTTTTCAGCATCGCCAAAGAGCTTCAGAGCTTCGGGAAAGAGAAAGCGGGGATCCAGTTCCGCTTTGGGAGGCAGGACGCGGACGAGGAGCCCAAGGCCATCGCGGATCTGCTGGAGGAAGGCGGTGAGAAGGGGGCCGGCAGGCCGGAGACCCTCGCAGGAGAACGGAATGGCGACTACAAGAGGAAGAAAACCGTCTTTAGCATCTGGTTTGGGAGGCGAAAAGGAGAAGCCTTTTGGGCCAAAGGGAGCTTTTCTGGGGGTGGGGTCCACCATTTGATGTGATCCTGACACGATCCATTGGCAATGCTTGCTGTGCTCCTAAACCCATCGTCCCATTTCGCAACCTCTCTGCAATCTCCAGGGATCTGAAAGTTTGCCAGTTGGTCCTTTCTCTTTCTTAACCTCCCCTCTCCAAAATGGAGTTGGCTTCATATCTACAGGGGTGTCACCAAGAAGACGGGGTGGTGGTGGTGGTCTCCAAAGCCCCTAAAGGCAGGACAAGAAGTGGAAAGTAATCAGAAAGAGATCCAACCTAGAACTAAGGAGAAATTTTGTGACAGTGAGCACAATTAATCAGTGGAAAGACTTGCCTTCAGAAGCTGTGGATACGCCAACACTTGGGGTCTTCAAGAAGAGACGGACAACCATTTGTCCATCTGAAATGTTATAGAGCCTCCTGCTTGAGCAGGGGGGGTTGGACTAGAGGGCCTCCAAGACCCCTTCCAACTCTGGTATTCTGTTATTCAGAAGAGCATGAGATCGATCCAGGCTGACTGCCAACCATCCATTTTTCTCCTATTCCTTCGAGAGGTCCAAGGTCATTTGGACCATCCAAGGGGGACTTTTTGGCTTGCCAGGTGCTACTTGGTGGGAGCATCTGTCACCTTCACCTCTTCAGATCCACAACCCCCAGAGCAACTCCAGATCTTCCAGGTGTGCAATAAAATGCCACCTTCAACAGTCCCACCGGGAGTTGCAATCTTCCACATCTGGAAGACAGAGGGAAAAATGTTTGCCCTGAATCCTTCACTGTGCCTGATGACGGCAGATGAGATTCTGCCGAAACGTTGCTACAACTTTAAAAGCACAACTATAACGATGTGGGAAAAAATACACACACACACACACACACACACACACACACACACACACACAACCATTCTGTATTCTTTCCCATTTTTTGGACACACAACCTCAGCTCTGTTTCTACTTTTCATTTTGGCCAGCTTGCTTTTTTTTTTTTTTTTAAACAGCAGGTTGCTTAGCCAAGCATCTTCCTATAAAATAAACCTTTCTTTCTGCATTCTTTGCCCTGGTGAACATGTGTTGGGTGTGTGTTTTTCTAATATAGGCACTCTCGGAGGCAAAATTTATTGAACGGTTTTTGCAACGTTCTCCAAAGGGAGAGCAGCCAAGAACCCTCATGTTTTGATTCTTAGGTCAGTCCTAGAAATACCAGGCTGGTCATTTAGCATTCCGCGTGAATCCAATTAATTAATTCCGAGATAATTCAAATTAATTTCCTCCTTCCCAACCTTTCCTCATGCTTGCAAGACCCAGCTCTCAGAACTCTCTGCACATTTCTCTCTCTCTCTCTCATCTATCTATCTATCTATCTATCTATCTATCTATCTATCTATCTATCTATATTTATCTATCTACCTACCTACCTACCTACCTCTCTCTCTCTCTCTATCGTTTAATCTTTTTGCTATACTCCAAAAGTGAGAGAAATAAAAGCAGGATACGATCATGATCCGGAGAAGCAAATTCATGCATATATTTCCAGACCTAGAGGCTTCTCTGTGCCACAAAAGATGAAGAAGGTTCTCTTTTTTTTTTTTTTTATTAAATTCATATTATTTTTCTGGCTCGTGTCGAAGGAGGAATTGTCAGAGGCGAAGTCTCCCAGCTGGGGAGCCTTTTGAGCCTCCCGCCCTCCACAAAGAAATGAAATTATACTCTTGATGTCACGACTGTCAAACTTAAGCTGGGGCCGAAGGGACGTCGGCATTAATGGACGAGGGAAATGGTAGGATGCACTTTTCCAGCATTATTCTGGATGCGAGTAACCGGTGTTAGCCTTGCAAAGCAACTGCTGTTCTTTCAAGGCTTCTCTGCGGGCGATGTCAAGCGAGGGGGCAGCGCTGCCCATTCCTGTCTCTGCTTGTCAAGACTGCCTAGTGCTTTTTGGAGTCTATATTGCTGGAGTCCACCAGCTGTCCATCAACGTGTTGCTTTTAATGGACTAGAGCTCTCCGCTCTCTATTTTCGCTCCAGTTGCAATGTTGTCCCTCCCCGGCTTCGTTCTCTTAGAATATAAAAACATGGAAGGGAACCTCGGAGGTCTTCTAGTCCAACCCACTGCTCAAGCAGGAAACCCTATTACCATTCCAGAGTTGTTCAAACTGTTTTTGGGGTGGAGTGCCCACATAATTTCTGGAAGCAAGCCATTCCACTGACTAATTGTCCTCCCCTGCCATTAAATCCCTCCTTCGCTCTAGGTTGCTTCTCTCCTGCATTAGTTTCTATCTGTTGCTTCTGCCTTCAGGTGCTTTGGGAAACAGCTTGACCCCCCCTCATCTTTGTAGGAGCCCCTCAAATATTGGAAGACTCTATCATTGTCCCCCACAATCCTTTCTTTCATTAGGCTGGACATAGCCAGTTCCTCCAACCATTCATCCTACAATTTAACCCCCAGGCGCCCTAGTCAACTTAGATAATCTAGGTTGAGATAATCTAGGAGAGGGAGCCTTATTTTATATTTATTCCAAATTCTTAGGCTGGTGCTCCTAAAACGATTCTTAAAAACCTGCATTTATTTTTAACTTCATCGTGCAAAACGTTCTCCAGTCTGTTTTTGGAAACCTCCTGTGATGGAGCTCCCACAATAGACACGTCACAGCTCTTCCACTCTGATAACCTCTAATTTTTTAAAAATTTTGTTTCTTTTTTTAAGGGTCAGCCCATCCTTCCTCCAGACCACAGAAACGGGCATCCGAGCACAGGTTTAAATCTGATCTTTCCCTCTCTTTAGAATTTTTTTTTTTTTTTTTTTGCAGCCCATTTATAGATTTTGCAGTGTCGGAAATAAAGTGGCTGAAAGCTAATCGCTTAAAATGCCTCTGGAGAAAGAGCAGAAGACAAACGTGGTGAAGAAAAGGACTGTTGACTAAGAAGACAGAGGCAGAAATGGAGTGATTAGAAATTTGATCATTTGCTGCCCCAAACTGGGTTAAATTCTGCAAAGGATACCATCAGTCACCCACCTGTTTCGTCCAAAGAAGCTAATACAGCTCCAGCTTTTGTAAATTCAGCAGATCTAAAGATTGCAAAGGGTTCTACGATTTCATTACATAAAGCACACTTTCCTGAAGCGTTATTATTAAAGCTTTTGTCGGAGAGAGAACCGATGAGCAATTTTTATGTTGTCTCCCGGCCCAGTAATGTAGGGCTGTCACACTGTGCCTGACTTTAAGCACGCAGTTGGGGCTAGATTTGGCTAGATTTGAACCCCTGTCCCAACTTAGGCAACTAATAATGGAGAGATGAAAAGGCTTAAAGTTTTTGCAGAGAAGATGTGAAACCCAACTGGGTGACTTTGGGCCAATCACCAGGAGATGGTGAGTTCTAGTCCTGCCTTAGGTATGAAAGCCACCTGGGTGACTTTGGGCCAAACAACAGGAGACGGTGAGTTCTAGTCCTGCCTTAGGCATGAAAGCCACCTGGGCGACTT